CATGGCTGCCGCTTTTTTCCAGCTCGGGGTTTTGCCGGAGAAAAGCGCCAGTCTAGATGGGATCTTGCGGAAAATAAACCCTTTTCCACAAGATCCCTTATTCCGTAGGACCTCCCGTAGGAATAAGGGATCTTCCGGAAAAGGGTTTATTTTCCGCAAGATCCTGTCTGGACTGGCGCTTTTCTCCGACAAAACCCCAAGCCGGAAAAAAGCGGCAGCCATGTTCATGCAAATGCCGCAGGGGGTATTTAAATCCCCGCGGAATTTGCAATTCCGAAGTGTCTCATTAGCATCCGTTTTCCGGAAAAGAGTGCCAATGTAGACACAGCCCCAGTGAACATTATATAAAAAAATTACTTCACTTAGGCTGCGTACTGTTTTTGAAACAGAAACACTGAAATATTTTCCTGCTTCTTATTCTTGTTATGGAACTCCAGGAAGATGCTAGAATGTCTCTTTTATGTGTTTGACCCACACATGCCAGTTAAGAAAAAGCAAATACTACAAGTGCTTGAGGATGGGTTCCAGGCAGTGGAAGAGCACAAGGTGAGATCAAGTCTGCACAGCTATGGGTTAGTAGTGGATAACCCAGCTCAGCGTGGCTTAAATAGTGTGGCTCTCCTTTCCCCTCTTTTTCCTTCTGTCCTTAACCCTTGTCCCACTCATCTGTCCCCTTTTTCTCCCTTTATTCTTGACCTTCCTCCTGTTGTCTCCACTTCCTTCTTTGCTTTGTCCCGCATAGCACAAGAATGATCAGTGCTTTGAAACTTGCTTTCAGCGCCCCTTTTCCTGCCTTTTTTCCCCCTTCTTTTTTCCTTGCTCCCTTGCTTTCCATTTCACAGTTTTACTCCTCACTCATCAAGAATAGTCAATGCCCCCATTGTTGATGGAGGCCTCAGAACTAATTCCTACCCTTCACCTCAGGTGCCAGATTCTCTGCCTCCAGCAGTGTAACAAGTTAGCAATTGAGTTTCTACCAATCAGTTTGTCTTATAATTTATCTAGAACATTTACTGGGGGTAGTCTGGATCCTTAACTGAAAAAAGCATTTTTTTTCTTAATTTAAATCATTGTTATGTGGTAGGGCTGGAGATGAGGGATTCAGTATGCGGGCTGCCTCGGGGAGAGAAGACAACCCCAGCCCTCTGTCAAGGCAGCATCTTGGGGCCAGGTCACCTGCCCATGGCTGCTACAGCTGAAGCAAGTACAGCCAGGAGAGGGGGTGCATTTTGTGGAAACCATTTTCATAGTTAGCTAGAAGCCATCTTGTATAACAGAAACCATTTCAGTTTCTTGCTTCTGCATGTACACCAGTGAGTGAACTTTCTCTTGCCCCAGGTCAGGGGCCTGCAAGATGAGCTACTGGAATGTGTTAATTGAGCTGGTTAAGAAGGGAGCCTCACTCCCTAGTACCTGCCCACTATCTTGCTGATAACAGTTTTGCTTTTTTAAGTTTAATTGATGATTTCTGTAATTGGATTCCCTGACGTCAGACTTGTTTGGTTAAGGGTATAAAGATACTAGGATTGTTTATATTAGCAGCCTTACTGGGCCCGGCTCTGCTGGGACCACGTTTGGCTCACTTTGTGCTTTATTGATCAATAAAGCTGTTTGTTAGCTGCCTAATCACAGAGAAGCTTGTTTTGCTTCAACAATATCCCCTGGCTGGGGGAGATAGACAGACACACAAACTCTGAAAAATCATAGAACACTAGACCTGGAAGAGACCTCGAGAAGTCATCAAGTCCAGATCCCTGCCCTCTCAGCAGGAGCCAGTACCATCTAGACCATCCTTGATAGATGTCTGTCTAATCTGCTCTTAAATATCTCCGGAGATGGAGATTCCGCAACCTCCCTAGGCAACTTATTCTAGTGTTTAACTACCCTGACAATTAGGAAGTTTTTCCTAATGTCCAACCTAAACCTCCTTTGCTGCAGTTTAAGTCCATTGCTTCTTGTCCTATCTTCAGAAGCCAAGGAGAACAATTTTTCTCCTTCCTCTTTGTGACACTCTTTTAGATACATGGAAAGTGCTATCATGTCCCTTCTCAGTCTTCTCCTTTCCAAACTAATCAAGTCCAATTCTTTCAGTCTTCCTTCATAGGTCATGTTCTCTAGTCCTTTAATCGTTCTTGTTGCTCTTCTCTGGACCTTCTCTAATTTCTCCACACCTTTCTTGAAATGTGATGCCCAGAACTGGACACATACTCCAATTGAGGCCTAATCAGCACAGAGTAGAGCGGAAGAATGACTTCTCGTGTCTTGCTCACAACTCACCTGTTAATGCATCCCAGAAATCATGTTTGCTTTTTTTGCAACAGTGTCACATTGTTGACTAATATTTAGTTTGCGGTCCACTATGACGCCTAGATCCCTTTCTGCAGTACTTCTTCCTAGACAGTCACCTCCCATTCTGTATGTGTGAAACTGATTGTTCCTTCCTATGTGGTGTACTTTGCATTTGTCCATATTAAACTTCATCCTATTTACATCAGACCATTTCTCCAGTTTGTCCAGATCATTTTGAATTATGACGCCATCCTCCAAAGTAGTTGCAACCCCTCCCAGCTTCATATCATCTGCAAACTTAATAAGCGTACTCTCTATGCCAATATCTAAATCGCTGATGAAGATATTGAACAGAACCGGACCCAAACCCCTGCGGAACCCCCACTTGTTATGCCCTTCCAGCAAGATTCCAGCACAGAAGTTAAACTGACTGGCCTGTAGTTTCCTGGGTTGTTCTTATTTCCCCTTTTATAGATGGGCACTATATTTGCCCTTTTCCAGTCTTCTGGAATCTCTCCTGTCTTCCGTGATTTTTCAAAGATGATAGCTAAAGGCTCAGATACTGCCTCAGGTTTAATGCTGATAATCAGTTGCTGGAATGTTCTGGCAGCCTTGAAAGAACTCTTCTTGCAATCTGAGCTAAAGGGCAGAGCTTAGCTTTGGAGCCTACAACAAAAACATTGGGCTGTCTTGAATGCCACACATAAGGATCATTATCCCTTTAGTGATGAATGAGGAAAGAAGCTGCTAATACAGAATTAACAGGTAAAAATTTCTCATTCTGACCCTTGAAAATTGTAGAGAGATGAAATAGGACAGCCTTCCAGCTTTCTTTTCCACAGCATCCTCATTTTGCCTGCCTTACCAATACCATGCCTTTCCCTGTTTTTCTGTTTTGTGAAGACCTTGAGTAGTGGTATTGTATCTTTGGGAAAAGCCTGCTCTTTGCCATTTCCCTCTCTGCTTTTTTGTTATAGAAAGTGGAAGTTCTCAAAGGCACCAGTTAGAGTTGCCTCTCCCATTGTGTTAGGTGCTGTTCAGAATTAAAGAAAAATATGATTCCTCTGTGTTTAGAATCTAATTTTCTTTGCTCCTTCTCTTATCCTGACTAGATTGTGATATCATAAACAAATAAACCTTCCTTTCCCTTTTACTCCTCTCCCCTTCCACTCGTCTCCCCTTCCTTAATTCATTTGCATCTGGTAAAGCTGCTTGGTAAGGATATATGTCTTGACATTTTTACAGGGGGTGTTTGTCAAATAAAGATACTTAGACTTTACTTTTATCCTTGCAGCTTTTAAGAAGAGACGCTGTCCTCCTCTCTAACAGTCTAAGTGTCTGTGAACGTCCCAGAATAGAATTTTTGCTGCAACAAACCAAGGATGAATGTAAAAATAGCAATGATCTTGAGGAATCATTCATACATGGTAATGTAATACCTTGGAAAGGTGGTTTCAAACCTCACTGATAGTTGTAAGGCTCATTTTATAAGTCAGTGCAAAGTGTTTTATCTTGTGAGTACAAGAAAGTCTTGTAAATACAGTAGATTGTTGTGACAAAACATACGGGTCTTTTTGTGAAGGGATCCTGAAGACTTGCTCCAATCTAACCACGTGCCCTTTCTATTAGGAAACCCCACCAAGACATATGATGGCCTGGAGCTAACTCCCAGGCAGGTTCAGAGACAACTAAGAGAGCACTCCCATCTGGAAGCTAATTAGATGAAGCTTAACCTTTCTAGGCTCAAAAGAAGAGGGAGTTAGGGGAAAAATAGAGGGCTTGTGTTAATATGAAGCCACGACAGGGCACTCTGAGGGAACAGTCATCAATGACATGATGTATCAATCCTTCACCAGTACAAAAGTGGGTAAGAATCTTCTTTAGGCTAGAGAAGTGCCTCTGAGCCAGGTCTGCAAGTCATTCCAGGAGTGAAAATGTTTAAAAAGAGTGGACAGCATTGGAAGAAAACTGTTCGTTAAGCTTCCCAGCTTCCAGAAAGAAGCCTGATAGCTGTCGGAGCCTCTGCCCTCACTAAAAGGAAGCATAAGTAATAAGCCTGATAGCTGTCAGAGCCTCTGCCCTCACTAAAAGGAAGCATAAGTTCACTGCTAAAAGGGAGAAGAGATTGTATCCCATACCTTGTGCTGAAGGGACTGGACCATGGTTTCCCCCAGGGTCTCTTTGAAGAGAGGCCAGTAACCTGGCTAGAACTGCTTTTAGGTGTGGTCTTTTTTATTTTTCCCTTTATTTAGCTTCTTTTGCTACTTTGAATAAGCGACAAGGAGTCCTGTGGCATCTTATAGACTAACAGATTTATTGGAGCATAAGCTTTCGTGGGCAAAGACACCTGACAAAGTGAGTAACACAAATGCACCTGACGAAGTGAGTCTTTGCCCATGAAGTCAAATGCTCCTGACGAAGTGAGTCTTTGCCCATGAAAGCTTATGCTCCAATAAATCTGTTACTCTATAAGGTGCCACAGGACTCATCGTCACTTTTACAGATTCAGACTAACATGGCTACCTCTCTGATACTTGACTTTGAATAGTTTCTTTGTTTCACTTGAGACTGAAAGGGGGAGAAATAGCCAAGACCTTGGCCAGAAGGCTAAAAAGCTGACCACTGCTAGACTGACTGAACAATCCTATTAGACGGTCTGGACTGGTGTGAAGGAACATCAAAAGGGTGATCTGTTAAGGACAGATTCCTCCCACCATCTTCTTTTATACTTGTACTTCTGAGTTTACTGCTTAGAATCTTAGCCCAATGCTACTGTTTTGGTAATACATTATCAGAAGTATATTTTGAGAAGAAAGACTTATTAGATCATTATTCTGCTAGGCCAGAGGGTAGTCTCCTGATGTTCTGGCCAGCTTGATACAATCTATTTTAGTTCCCTGTGTTTATACTGGATTTGTCTTATCATTAATCGTCTTTTCTTTCCATTCTTAGGGAAACTCATAATTGCAAAAGTTTTTCTTGGACGTAGTGTTCCAGCTCGTGAAAGAGATCCCATCCATCAAATCAACTATCCAGGAGCTAATTCAGTGTTCAGGCCTCAGAAACATTTACCAAGTGGTACATCTAGAACTGCTGAGGGTACTGTATCTATAGGCTGTTCTTAGCACCAAGTGAAGGTTGTCAGGGTTGTATTCTAAGCCCTGTCTTTCATACGTTTAGGAGCCTGTCGTGGAATTTTGGTTCTTATAGGAACTCAGAATATTGTCTTGACCCAGTCCAAGTGCATGGTGTTTCGAAGTAATGTTAATGAGGATAATAAAAGATGTTCACTGTTTTAATGATTACTAATGGTAGTTTAATTCACACAGAGTTTTCAAAGGAAAGCATGAAGAACCAGATTGTGCTTTTCCACCACTAGTAAGTCTGTGTGTGTGTGTCCATGTATACATACCTCAGTGGAGATGGAACACCTTCATCATTAAAATCCCCAAGTCATCTCTGCTTGAGCAGAAGGAGAATTCCTTTAATGCTAAGACATATGCTGTATTGTATTCAGAGGGAGTCATGATCACTTGCACTATCTGTGTACTACATATAATGTGAACAGTGCAAAAATCTTTGGCCAATCCTGCTTGCTTCATGAGGCTGATCAACTTTGCAGGAAATTACAGAGTGGGAACAAAGCCATGGTTTTACCTCTTCCCTGTCCATTCAGGGGAATTTGCAGTCATTGGAATATCAGAAAGGAGCAATCCCATTGTTTATGTGCAGGGGATGTGATTATATCTGTCCTTCTGTGCACAGGTGATTGTACCATGAAATAATCTAGGTTTGGGTAACAGTACAGTGTAGCAGTCTGTGCGATGGGGGCCTAAGCAAAGTTCCCTTTTCAATCATGCTGCCATGCAGAACAGCTGCAGTTCTTTCCTTGGCTCCCTCCTCACTTCGGAGGGGAAATGATCTGTCTGGTCTGGGCCAGGAAAATATTTCTTCTGGAATATTGGGGATGGGGGCAGAGAATAGAGCCAAATCTCTTGCCCAATCCACACACCTCTGCTTGCCCACTCTTCCAACCAGCACAAGAGTGAGTAATGGCCCCCAGAGAGGTTACCTCCCACTTATTCAGGAACCTGTCAGCTGTGCTGCTTACCTTACTGCCCTCCCAGAATATGTAGCGCAAGAACAAAGGTGTGAAGTAAGATTTTTAGACATTGCAACAAGGCTCCTAAATGTTTGTTCATTACAACCTGCAATGAACATGGAACAATCTTCTGTTTATTCCTTCCACTTATGTTTATATCTTTTCTTTTGCTGTAGAAATGTATTCTTCCATGGAGCATAGAAACTGTGGCTGCCACCATCGACAGTGTGAGTGGTTTGTGTTTGATCATGAGCTGGTCTTGCCTGAATACTTCGTTGAATTTGAGTACACTACATTGGTATGAACTTTGTTTTCTCTAATAGGATGTTAGAGGGTAAGATCTTGTTACCTTAAAAAATATTCTCACTGGAGACCACCCAGAGTTACACTAGTAGGGGTTTATTTCCACTAGGTAGAACTAAAGAGGAGAAAGCAGCCACCAAAGGTTTAAGCTGAAGAAGATAGAACTCTCTCTCTCTCACATACACATACACATAGACAAGCAAGCAAGTACACACCCCTCCATTCACTCACTCATTCACACCCGTTCATTCCTGCCCTCAGGCACTCACACACTTATGCAGACATATGGGTTGCAGAAGGAGCCAAGGCATGTGGATCCTGAAGGGTCTGTCTGCTCATCATGGCTGGGGAAGCTGGTCAGGAGAGAGAGACACTGGAGAGGAGCCTCTCAGGAGCAGGGGAAGGAAAAAGAGAGTCTCACATGTGCTTCTTCTCTTTATATAGTGTCTGAATGGCTCCTGTGACTCATTCACCTTGTCATCAGGGAGCATGCCCAGACTTCCCTTTATCCAGCAGAGAGCATGCCCAGACTGTGATGACTCATTGCCATGTGGTCCATTGTTGCAAGCCTTCTTCAAACACACTCACACTCTCTCTCCATTCACTCAGGGGAGAATGCAGCTTAGGGAAAGTTACAAGCAAGGTGGCTGCATGTTACAAAGGTTACAAAGTTGCAGTTTACAGTAAGTTTGAGAGTTACACAGATTGCAAAGATTGATAAGGATCATAATAAGTTAGTTTAAATCCTTAGACCTTACGGTTTGGTGTAGCTTTAGAAAATCCATGTATATAAATCTAGTGAGCTCAGGCGGAGGCTTTTTTATGCAACAGATCTCAAATATTAAGAGAAAAACAGCTAGTTGAAATTATTCCTCCTCTCACATTATCTGACATGATCTAAGTTCAAGGTTCTGTCCCCTCCAACTGTCTAAAAAGCCTAATAAAATTCCCATTGATGTGAATGAGAAACTTTCATATATTGCAATGAGAGTTAGCTCAGACTCTTATTTTGTAACATTATCAAGTGTGGCAGGAAAGACGCAGAGACTTAAACGAACCCTTGGCAGTGCAATGATGCACAATTGAAAATTAGCTCCTCCCTCCCTCCCTAAATGTGCCATCCTTTGAGGTCATGACACACTAGAATGAATGAAATTTGATAGTGCTCAAAACCTTGCTTCATGGAATCCTTAATTTTTTATTGTATTTTGTTTCAATGTGTGATGTATATAGTTTTGAAGCATGCATAGATATTCTGCTACTGGTTGGGGTCCTGACCAGGATTTTTCTCAGTTAAAAAAGCTTTTATGTTAATGTTTATAAGCTACATAGTGGACAGGCCTTGTGGTTTTGTGGCTGGGTAATTTGCTGCCATCGTGCAGAGGTCTCAGCTCAGATCTAGACCTTCACTACCTGGCAAAAGCAGGGTGTGTGGCAAAAGTAGAGTATTCAGCTCCTGGGGAAGATTTGCCCTTTCAGTCACCTTTGAGCAGGCCACTGCAAAAACAATTGCAGTAGCGATGGGCTCTGGTGAGTCTGCAGCTAGCTCTCCTTCACTGGAAAGTTAACTATTTCAATGCTTGGACTTTGGGGGTTTGAATAAAGAAGCAGATGTCTGTTGTCTTCAGTATAAGTTCTCTGTGGGTGTATCTACACTGTACGCTTATTTCAACATAAGCTATTCTGGAATACCTATTCTGAAATAGCTTATTTTGAAATAGCACGTCTACCCTGCAGGGAAACCTCAAAATTAGTCAGAGGCAGGCTTCTCTAATGTAGATGTGCTTTCTCGATTTAGAGCCCCAGGAGACATGGGGGAGGAATAACTTAGAATGGCTCTGGTGAGGGGCTATTTTGAAATAGTAGCAGTGAAGCTTCTACACACGCCTTATTTCAAAATAGCTATTTCGGAATAGGTGTTATTCCTCATAGAATGAGGTTTACAGATTTTGGAATAAGCTGTCTGTTATTTCAAAATTACTGTATTTCAAAATAATGGAATGGCTGTGTAGACACTTGCATTGTTGTTTCAACATAACACTAGTTATCTAGTGACAGGACATGGCCCATAAACTCTTTTTGTTCATAGCTTGATGAAATCTTTAAATTCTTATGCAATCAAAAGCACTGCTGTAATCTTCTGAAAGTGCTGCATTACTGAGAGTTAGGAAATCATCTTTACATTCTGTATATTTCTATGCAATTTTAAATAATTTACCTAACTTAAAATAGAAATTTACAAATATTGACAAATATTATTTTGCATAGGTCAAAGTTCAGTCCCTGTTTTCTACACTCAGCAATGTAATTGTAGAAGAAGGAAAGAAAGATACAGAAGGATTTATATTGTCTGGTGATTTGCAACATGATGATGAAGTTATGAACATGGAGCCTACAGTAAAAGCCAGACCAAAAATTGTTTGCTTGGATGAAAAGACAGTGCTTTCAGTTGCTAAGGCTAATATTTACAGTCAAATAGTGGTGAGTATAGTTTGTTACATGTACAACAGGAGAAGTTTATTATATAACCCATATTATATTATTCACATTACCTCCTAAACCAGCCAAAGGCAGGATGGCACAAGTTAAGGCTAGCAATTGCGCTGGATCCTTGTATTGTACTTGTTTTACACTAGTGAAGGGCTTTTGGAGTAATTTGAGATCTAAAACTAGTGTGACATCAGAATAAGGTCTTCCATTCTTAAATTATGCCATTTGTTTTTCATAAAAATATAAATTACATATACTGGGCAGGATTCTGATCTTACCTTCTGTTGTATAAACTGAGAATAATGCCATTGAAATCATGTGTAAAAAAGTGTTTGTGAGCCCTGGTTAAGGCCTAAAGTGCCAGCTTTAATTGTGTGTCTTTTCTTGGCTCTATGGTTGTATCAGCGTAGTGATTGCTCTTAAAAAGATTTTGTGTCAGTTTTGGCATCAGAAAAATATATATCCAGGGAAGGGGTGACTGTGGCAGTCCGTAACAATGGACAGATTTTCAATATCATTGCAACTGATGTGCTCACAAAACCCCTTATGCAAATATGCAATTAAAGGAGTTCTGCATGCATTTACATATCTAACTGCTGTTTTGCATTTGCAGTTACTATTTCTCTCTATACAAACATGATGCAGGTAGCCTGTTGAAGATTTGACCCTTCAAATGATTAAATAGTTTTGATCTCTGCTCCTGTCTCTTTGATGGAGTAGAAACAGCTCTCCCCTACCTCTGGCATTCACCCCTAACTCCCCTTCCTGAGAACTGGGCTTCAATAGATCTGGTCATCCTCTTCTCTTTTGGGTGCCATTACCCCCTTGCTGTATTCTGGGCATGGATCAGTTTCCAGCTGTCAGTCTTCCAAATCAGTCTCACCAATCAACAAGAGCTCTACTGGGGAAGGACTGGAAACTGTCCTCCCTTGATCCTACCATGATCCCTTTCAATGGGCCAATAAAAACATTTCTGAACTGAGTCTTCATCATCCCATCCTACTGTTACTTCAGAGAGAGGGGAGAGTTGAAGAACAAATATCCTTCAAAATAAACGAAATTGTAACAGGGTGGCTCCCATCTGGTCAAGTGCATGTGGCTGCAGTGTCTCAATTTAAGCCTTTCTCGGCTATTCGGCCTGGTGTGAATTGCAATCCCTTCCGGGGCATACCTCTAACGGGCCCATTCTGGTGCCCTTTGCTAGTATCCCTCTGTTTCTGTGTCTCAGTTTTTGTTTCCCTATTTGGATAGAGTGGTGGCTCTGGAGCTACCCTTACTGGTGACAGCTTCTTGCTCTTACCTCAGGGCATGTATCTCAAGTCCCAGAGTCCATAATTGCTCTCCCTATGGAGCTCTCCATGGTGCTGCATAGGGGGACATGATAGCAGCTTTCAAGTATCTAAAAGGGTGTTACAAGGAGAAGTGAGAAAAATTGTTCTCCTTGGCCTCTGAGGACAGGACAAGAAGCAATGGGCTTAAATTGCAGCAAGGAGGGTTTAGGTTGGACATTAGGAAAAACTTCCAGTCAGAGTGGTTCAACACTGGAATAAATTGCCTAGGGGGGTTGTATCTCCATCCCTGGGGATATTTAAGAGCAGGTTGGATAGACATCTATCAGGGATCATCTAGAGTTTCTAGACAGTGCTTGATCCTGCCATGAGGACAGGGGACCGGACTTGATGATCTTTCGAGGTGCCTTCCGGTTCTAGTGTTCTGTGATTCTTAGCCTTTTTCATAATCTGTAGAATTTTACATTTACTCTTACACACTAGCAGTTGAAGCTCTTTAATGGTGAAAAACAATGATGGAGTAGCCCAGAACGTGTATGTATACTTGAAGACTTATCTGCTATAGCCTGGGTTCTTCAGGGCTCAGGGCTGGCGGTGTGTGGAGTTGCAGGCATCAGGGTAGGGCCTTGGAGATATGGGGTGGGGGAGTAGGACAAAAAGCTAGAGGTGTGGGGGTGCAAGAGTGAGGGTTGGGGGTGAGGAGGGGCTCAGGGCAGGGGGTCCCATCCAGTGGGGCTTTCTCCTCCCTCCCAGCTGCCAGGGGCCTTCTGTCTCTCCTTAGCCCCTTCCCTCAGCTGCCGGGCCTTCTCTCTCTCCTCCTCCCTGATGCTGCAGCCAAGGTCCAGCAGGGGGGCTACATACTCGGTCTTGTACCATGTTCTTTCTCTCTATGCCCCTCCCTTTCCGTGTTAAGGAAAACAGTCACATTCTCAGCACTTCCCGTTTTCTTGCCACAACCAAACCCTGACCTTGCTTTAAGTTAGGATAAGAGAAAGCCGCCTACCACATTTGGTGGTCCTAGCTCTTGATGAGTTCTTGAACAAACAGATTCACAGACATTTTTGTCTGTCTGTCTGTATGTACTATGTATATAGTAGAGTTGTAATATTATTTTTTTACCTAGGTTCTGAATTTACATGGGAACAGCCTGTGCAAACTGCGGGACATCTCTAGACTGACAGGGCTTCGAAAACTTATTGTCAGCTTCAATGAATTTACTTGTTTAGATGATGTTTACCACTTGGTAAGAAATATTGCTCTACATTTTTAAAGAAAATTAAACTAAAGGAATATTTTAATTGAAAAAATCCTTTGTGTGTATGACTTAAATATATTTGTCAGTTGCATGGCAGCAAGCCTGATTTATTCCTAATGGTTAAAGTTCACTACTTTTGAACAGAACCTTTGTTCCTACTTGTGCTTTGTAGTAGGAAGTGTGGACTAGTAGGTAGAGCACTGGATTGGCACCTGAGTTCTATTTCTGGCTCTGCAGTCGGTCTGCTTAGTGGTCTTAGGCATGTCTTTTCGGCTCCTTTGCCTCAGTTCCCCAATCTGTAAAATGGAATAATGATACCTAGCTCCTTTTAGAGTGCTTTGAGATCTGAAGTTGGAAATTGCTCTGTAAGAGTTAGATGGTGGTTTTATTGTTATTTAGGATTCCTCTCTCTACTTCCTGCCTCCCATCCTTTGTCTTTCTTGTCTGTTTAGATTGTAAATGCTTCAGGTCAGAAACTGTTTCTTTCTATGTATGTTTATAGTGTCCACACTAATGCAAATAAATAATAATAATAATATCAAATGCAACAATTAACAACATACAACTGATTAGACTTGGAGCGGAACTCTAGCTGTGGGATAGGAAGTATGGCATTTACCTCCTGGCCACACAGTGCTGCTCTTGCAGGGTTACCATTCTAGTGTAGTGGCTAAGCACCCCCTACGCAGGATTTCTGGGCCACTGACTCTGGGTGATTCTAGATCATGTGACCAAAATCATAACTTGTCTGTTTTGTATTGTTTGGGGTCAGTACAGAGTCACCCTGTCCATGAGGTATACAAGATGTGGACCCTTCAGCCACCTTCTAAAGACTCGCTGTAGATCCCACTGCTCTCAAATCGTGTGGTTGTCTGTCTCATTCTCTGACTAAAGAGGTGTACAGGGCCTTGCATGGCTGAGCACACCTGGGATGCATTTCACCCTGAAAAAGAAAACTAGAAAACTGTACTGTATTCTCAGGTAGTGGATGGATCAGGAGATGTCCAGGATGGGCTGGATTCAGATATGCCTTTAAAGGTTCGATTGCTTAACCAGACTTTTCTCTTGGCGGACTTCCTGCTGCTGGGTCAGGGGCATCTTGGGCATTGAATCTGAACAACAATGCCTTTGGTAGGAATGTCTATTAAAATCAAGTTTATTATCAAATATTTCCTTGCTATGCTTTTTTCTGTGCAATTATTGTCAAATCAGTACTGTTTTGCAGCCCAATCTGGAGTATTTTGATGCAAGCCACAACCATGTGATCACCCTGGAAGGTATTAGAGGTTTAAGCAAACTGAAGTATTTAGACCTGAGTTGGAATCAGCTGAAAAAGACTGGAGAGGAAATAAGTGTATTACGTAAACACACTTCAAACTTGCTCAGTCTTGATATCAGACATAACCCATGGCATAAGGTATGTGTCAGTGCTTAAAAGTCTCAGGAAACCCTAACCATAACAACAATTAGCCTGTATAATGCTAAATTTTGGACGTGGTTCTCATTTACATGGAGGCCCTTTTACACCACTCTCACTGTGTAAGAGGTCTTAAAGTGGGGGTATATGTAATGTATGCCCGCTGTATGGATTCTTTATGCTTTCAGAGCCCTAAGGTAACTAGAAATCAAGCCCCTTTGACTTTCTACACAGTCCTGAGCAAGGGGTTGTGCATAAGCTGCTGGAGTGGCCCCTAGAAGCCTTGTGACTCAGTGACACTACTCTGAGGAATAATGCGTCTCTTTGCTTCTAGTACCGGGGTGGTCACAAGGGTCTCCCTGGGCTGGATCTGGCCCGCCACGTGGGTGAATTTGGTCCATGGAGGCCCTGCTGCTCCCCTAGGCCAATTAAGGCCTGGGGGCGGGGGAGCGCCCGAAGCCTTCTCTGCTCTGCCCTCACCCTGAGAGCAGCACGTGGCAGGGGCAGAGCGGAGAAGGCTTCACACACTCCCCAGCCCCCACGCCTTAATTGGCCTGGGGTGGGGGAGCACGCGAAGCTTCCTCCCACCCTGCCAGGAGCATGTGGAGCTTTGAAGCGCTGCGTGCTGCTCGCAGGGCAGGGCAGGGGGGAAGAGAGCGGAGGAGACTTTGTGTGCTCCCCCGCCCCCAGGCCAGTCAGGAAAAGGCCCTTCCTTTGCCCTGCCCCAACCCTGCAAGGAGCCCACGGTACCTTGAAGTGCCATGTGCTCCTCGCAGGGTGTGAAGAAGCTTCCCCGCTCCCAGGCCCTGACTGGCCTGTAGGTGAGGGAGTGTGCCAGGCCTCTTCCAGGACATGGGTGCCTAGTGGGAAGGGGAGCAAATGGGCTCCCCCACCCCCAGACCAATAATGGTCTGGGGGTGGGTACCCCCGCCACTTTCTGTTTAGGCCCCTCCCCTTCTGGGGTAGCCTGGGGCTACTTCAAAAATTTGTGAAGTGGCCCCTGGGCAAAAATTATTGCCCAGGCCTGTTCTAGTAGGTGGCAACTTTACGGATGGTCTACACCAGCCATAAAAAATAACCTTTGCCCCCACTGCTCTTACTGAGCTCTACTGGCCAGTGAAAGAGGGGACAGGGCAGAGACAGTTTCCCTCAGTCTCAGGGAAAATGTACAATGCCAACCTTCTACTTGGTGACACACCCATTCCCCAGAGTAGCAGCATAGCTGTGCTGGCTGTGACATGGGGGAGCAATCCAAAATGTAGTACATTTCACTCCCTCTCCATCCATTCCCTGACTACTTGCGTAGTCCTCTTCCCCTGAATACTTGGAGGCCTCGTTAAAGGATGTGCATACTCTTTCTGCCATGCACAGGCACATAGTCCCCATCTACTTTATAAATATGAAATTGGTAATTATTATTCTGGTAGCTTTAATAAGTATATTTTGCAGCCAGAAATAAGGATGTTATTACTCACTTTCATTACCAGTATGATTAACCAATCTGTTTTTCTTGCACTATTTAATGGGAATTTTAAAATATTTTTCTATCATAGTTAGGATTGTAGTTCTACCTTGAGTTTAGACTGACATTTCCAAATCTCTTGAGCTTCTTTTTCACCTCCTCTGAGGTCATCAAATTCCTTGCCTGTAATAACCCTTGTAGTACTTGCAAGCCTCTGACTTGTACAGTTGGTGCTAACAACTTTGTTGTTATTGTACCACACTTAGGGTATGTCTAGACTACATGCCTCTGCCAGCAGAAGCATGTAAATTAGGCTACCCCACATAGTCAACAAAGTGGGGATTTAAATATCTCCTGCTTCATTAAAATAAAAATGGCTGCCGCGCTGTGCCGGCTCAGCTGATTGTCGGCGCAACACGGCAGTCAGACGCGGATCGGTCGGCAAGAAAAGTCTTTGCCGACCGCTCCCTTATGCTTCGTGAAATGAGATTTACAGGATCGGTCGGCAAAGGCGTTCCCTGTCAACGGACACACGTCTTGACTCGCATGCTGTGCTGACAATCAGCTGAGCTGGCACAGTGCGGCGTCCATTTTTATTTTAATGAAGCCAGGGATATTTAAATCCCCACTTCATTGACTATGTTCGGTAGCCTATTTTACATGCCTCTGTCGGCAGAGGCATATAATCTAGACGTACCTTTAATGTCCTCCATAGCTATGTAGAACTACAATCCTTCAGGGCTAGTTTTTTTTCTTATACATGCATGTAAATCCAGAGTAATTTATTGACATGGGTGCCACATTAGATCAGTGTAACCAAACCTAGCCCAAATGTATGTCATTCCTTATAGTTTTGTACAGGATGGCAAGACGTAGCCCATTCCCCTTCCTTTTCATCCATTCCCAATCCAGATGAGCAGAGAGAACATAATAACCTTGTGGAGGCTGCTTCCCATTCTACACTGTTATCCATGATAGGCATATCTGGGACATTAAAGAGGCACATTTTATGCCCTCTTTTTTACTTCCCTGTGCAAGGAGGATGGACCACAGTCTAGTCCTTAATGTGCATAACAGGAGAGGAGAATGGATTAAAAGGAATCATATGTCCTTTTTTTATGTAGCCGTATAAATAATTTTAAAAAGTAAATCGTCTCACTTTGCTTTTTTTTTCTCCTCCAAGCCAGCCTCGTTGCGTTTGAGTGTCATTGGCCGATTAAAGGCTCTTACTCATTTAGATGGAGTCCAGATTACCGAAGCAGAGGTTGCAGCTGCTTTGTGTTTTATTGCTGGATCAAAGATTACTCAGGTTTGGTGTTCCATTTTACTGTAACTTGTAGCAAATGCAAGATCAGAAACAAGAATTGTTAGGCACAATCATACAATCTGACTTCTGTTTCAAAATTTGTATTTAATCATATTTTTAAAATCATCTAGTTTTGTTGTGTGTGTAAAAATGCCGCATTTTGCACTCTCAGCAGCTAGCTGTGAAGCAGCAGTTATTTCACAAACTTAGTTCTCACTTGGCTTCGCTGATACTGGTAATGATCATGCTACATGGTGAAAGATTTCATAATGCTAGATTTTATATCATTTTAAGGTTGTTAAAATGACTGGTTAATTTCATATCTAGTCAAAACAGGAAATTAAATATGTTTGCCAAATGAAAAAAAGGATAACTCAAGAAACAGAAAAAACTACCTAGGCTTCTGAAGGCTTGTGTACATGGTGAGTTAGTGTGCAGCAAGCTAGAGTGTGATCTGGCACACCATCTTGCCACTCACTAATTCACTGTGTGGACACTGCTATGTTATAATACAAGTCCTGGAATATGATGAAGCAATAGTGTATGCAAGTTATTGTACTGTAGAACAATATTGTACTGTAGAACCCTGGGTAACTTGCCACACTTACAAGCCTGGAGAAGGTATTTCAGATGGTGGCAAGCAAAAAAGGGGGTTAAATTAATTTACACTGTTTTTCAAAGATTTTGGCCAAGATTTCATTCTTTATTCAGGTTTTACGCTGTCTATTCTCTAGCAAACTCCCATTGACTAGAATCAAACTTTGCTGGAGTAAGGACTGATCAAACACAAAGTAAGGGCCTCACAATTTGCCCAGATCATTTTTTTTAGAGTAATACAAATTAGAAATGGATGAAATCTATTAACATATGCCAGATTTACTAGACCTATTAGATTTCAGCTATATTAGATCTACTAACATATGATATGGCCATCTCTTTATGATTGGAATACTGTAAGCCATAAAGCCTTTTTCTTCATGTTATGCGGTGGACATTGTGCATTATTTATACCATTGTATTATCTATTTATGAAGTATTTTCATTTTGTCAGGCATCTCTCTTAGAACATTCTAGGACTGATGAAACTAGGCCACGTGTTCTTAGTGTACATCCTTATGCCAAAATTCTGAGTCAAATTAGCAAGAACAAGTTGGATTCACAGACACATTTCAATAGCAGCTGGTATCCTAGGGTAAGGCTGTCTCTATTAATTGTAATGCCTTAGGACATAGATTTATCTGTCATATGTTTGTTTTGTTTTTTGTTTTGAGTTCATGCATGTTAATTAACCATGTATCTTTTTGATCACTGAAAAATGTAATCTAGTACTTGAAGTTAAAAATGTAAAATCATAAAAGTTTCCATATCAGATTACAATCTTCTGACCATATTAGGTCTTTTCTTTTGATTTGGCAGGATATTGAAACTTTCAAATATTCAGTGTTGAAGCACAGTATTTTCAATACTGAGACCATATTACATGAAGAAAGGTGTTAGGTTTAATTTCAGGGCTATATACATTGGCCCTTCTTTAGCATGACAGCCAACAACTACAACTCCATTACATAATTTAAAGCCATGGAACACTATATAGGAAGATCGGAGTTCATTGTAGCCTGTCATAATCCATGGTCTGACCTCTCCTCTGAAATCATGTTAATCTGCCAAGAATAAAAGGTTAAAAGCTCCTCTGTCAGTTCAATTTGTTGTGTAGAGTATAAAATAGCTAGAGGAAAACACATTTCTGCTGATGGGCATAGTGTTTTACTCTGTGTGCATTAAGGAATTCACATTTACAGATATTGCCAAGAGAACCAACATTTCAGTATATGGTGTCAACATTACACTTTGTGACACCAGAATTAAGTAGGGGTCATACAGGGATATAATATGTTATTGAGGAAGGAAAAAATCTTATCCAAAATGAACGTCATAGTAGACAGAAAAGAGAATATGTTGGGAATAATCTCCGGACACAGGGTGTTGGTGAAAACAAGCAGAGGATTTCTTGGTTCACACAGTGCTAGTGGAGTGCGGACCAGGTAGTTAGCCCAGAGCACACTAACCTAACCAAAACATACATTAGATTATATAGTTAGCAGATGGACGGAGGAGAAGTGATTTGATAGGTCTAGCAGCGGAAGTGAGATATGCACATAAGCCAGTGGTCTAAGACAGTTACACAGCATTTCCGCCCATCGCCAATTAAACATGTTATCACTAATACAGGTAGTTATTCCTAACAAGCTAAATGTGCCAACATAAACAGGATGGCAGCCCCCAGAATTAATATGTTGCTGTAAGCTTGTTAGCTGAACTTGTGATGTCTAGGTGGGACGGACGACTCCATCTCCATCCTGGCACAATCCTTGAGATTCAAGCTCATTAATCTGAAAGCACAAGAGACAGTGAAACCCGCGCAGCCTGACTGATATCAGCCAGGCCTTATCAGAGTGAGAGAGGCCCCTTTGGAATGTAGTTGCCATGGGAATCAGGGTCATAGTAACTGTTGAACTGTTTACTTTCCAAGCTTCGCCTAATATTTTCAGGTTTGAGTTTGTCAGTTCTCAGCAAGATACCATGGACTGCCTTAATTTACCCTACAGAATATAAATTGTATTTTGGCTATTAGTATCATCTGTGAAAGAAATAGCTTTGAATTTTGTAAAGTTTCTTTGGCATAGACAGGAGACCATGCTGAATATCCTGTGCTGTCAGAAACTCACCTTGCTAAATTAAGCCATGTGGCCATTTTTTCATTATTGATGAAGAAGTGAAACCTGATGAAGAACATTGCAGTCTTACATAGGACTGGCCTTATAGTCACTGGAGTCCAGGGCAGAAATTAAGTGGACCCCTACAAAAGGTACTTGTGATAGTCTGAGGGTGGAACTAGTGGTTGATACTAACCCACAGTGTTACATGACCTGGTAAGATGAGTTGAGGGTAGAGATGAAACTTCTTCCCCAAGTCCTGCTGGTGCCTGTAACTTAGCTTTGTGGGGTCCCCAGTGGTTCACGCCTTGGGCAATTGCCTCCCCCCTAATGCCAGCCCTGGCCTTACTGGTCGTTTTGGGAGAAAGGATGGAATCATGGCCATGCGTTAAGGTGGATGGGGTCATTGATTGCTCCCATTATGTAGAGAGCATGTTGTGAAGTGAGTATTCACAGCAAGTGTATGTAAAAGAAAGTTCTGTGACAACACCAAAGGATAAAAATGTGTTTGGAATCTAATTTCATTTGTTCCTGCCCACGAATTTTGCAAAGAAGAAAAATGGAATGAATTGGAATGTTACACACATTAAAGAAAAAAAGGAATACTTATCTGTGAATTAAAACTAGAAGGGATAAACCCTTCCTTAGTACGTACTCAAATTCTGCTAGCACACTGAGCTAGACAGTTACTCGATACAGGGTGAAATCCTAATCCTACTGAAGTCAATGAATGTTTTTGCCTTTGAGTTCATTGAGGCTATATTTCACCCCTGGATCATAGAATGAAAATATGTGTAAGCAGGCTAATCAATAGGATAATCATACATTGGTGGATGAGGTAAAATTAATCTTAATACTGTGGTCTGATCTACACTAGAAAAAAATTGTACCTGTTTTTTAACATTAGCTATAACTGCATAGGTACATTTGGGAGTTGGTTAGATTATATTGATGAATCATTGTTTGTTCTGGCACATGTTGAGGATTCTGTGTTGGTTTGGTTTTTTTTTAGGGTTTTAGAAATGAAGTCCTGTATTGCAAGATGAGGGTTTAATGATGTCCAATGTCCAAGAAGAAATGCCCTGTTGATGTTACTGGGAAATGTAAATGATGAATGTGAAAGCAGCATGTGGCCCTCAGTGTATTATTTGACTCATTGGCTTTAGTGTTCATGTTGGAATTAGTTGACTGAGCTCTTTCAATACTAAAATTGAGTTCTCTCACAGATCACAGTCTTAAATCTGGATGGACAACATCTCTCCAAAATTGCCAACTTAGAAAAATTGGAGAATTTAAGATGGGCCTCATTTAGCAACAATAATCTTACTAAAATTGAAGGACTGGAATCTTGCCTTAATCTTGAAGAGCTCACTTTAGATGGAAACTGCATCTCAAATCTAGAAGGTACTGTACACAGGAAGTTAATGAAAATCAAAACATTAAGCTAGGCACAACAGACATGTTTCCATATAATCCAGTGTTTCAAAAGGTGACCTTTTATTTTTATCTTTATTAGTTGCATATAATTTTAAAGATTTCAGATTTAAAAAATATAACTGCCTTATAGCTTTTTGGTGGCTATTCAGCAGAAATGAAGAAGAGACAAAGTATATAACTGCCTTATATCTAGCTTTTTGGTGGATATTCAGCAGAAATGAAGAAGAGACAAAGTAGATTGTTTTTCAGAAAAGCAAAACAAATATGTAATAGGAATTTTTCAAATCTGATAACGCATGGTTTTTAGTAAGTAGACTTCTGGACATGTAACATTCCTACAATAAACCATAAATTTTCCTTTGATAGTTATATGTTGGATCAATTTTTAATACAAGAACGTAATAAACTAACAATTCCAAAAGGTCAAAAATTCACTTTTAAAAAGAATAGATTTGCCTAATCCACTCTAAATGACTGTTCCAGAAACTACTGGATAGTTGATACATCTCCTCATATCCCCGTATAGGTCATGGCAGATACTTTTATTGTCAGCTTATTTGAAAATTAGGTTCGTAGGCCCAGATTTTAAAAGGCATTTGGCAGTGTTCTCTGTAAACTGTGTGCTTATCCAGCCACTCAGGAGAATTTCAAATGTCACCCAGCAGATTAGCAGAGTGCCCACACCTAGATTTTTGTTTCTGCTGATGGTGCTCATTTACACATGCCTCATTGCACATAAAATTTATTCTGCACGTGGAAAAGATTGGAGGGAACATTGGTATTTGGCTGTTGTCATGCTCAATGTTGTAACACCTGAGTTAGGAGCCTAAATGTCCTTATACTAACATACATAGGCACTTCATAATCTAAATACCATTAACTGTCAGTGTTATTTTGGCTCCTAAGTACCTACATTCATTTTGAAAAGGATATTTAGACTCCTAAATCAGATAGGTGTTGCAGTGCTGAGATCAACACCACCTAAATATCTTTAAAAATATGGGCCATAGTCTTCTGTATTGTGAAAGAAGGCCCATCTGTGGCATATGAAGGGTGCAACAAAAGGAACCTTCTGTATGAGAGATGAGAAGACCGTTAGTCCCTCTCACCATGCTCTTTGCTACTGCTGGAGAAGGAATCAGCACCAAGTAGCCTCCCTAAGGACCTCTGCTATTGCCAAAGCAGTGAATTAGACCATGAGTAGCCTCTATCTGGAAAATGTTCTAGCTGTCACACAAGAGCATGCCCCAAATGGTCTCTCTTGATCCCGCTTGCTTCACAGCCTGATTGGGCAGGCCACCTGCCTGTCATGTGTAGCTTATTTTACCATCTGAGATAACTACTTTTTTAGCTTTTCACTATCTGTATATACTTTAGATCATCTTATTTATTTTTTTCTAGGAATTGCAAAACTCACCAAAATAACGCGACTTAGTGTAAATAATAATCATCTTACCAGCCTGGAAAGATGTGTTTTTGAAAACTTGTCTCATCTTCACTACCTATCTCTTGAGAGCAACAGAATTACTTCATTGATTGGTTTACAGAAAGCTTACACATTAATAGAACTATACATCAGCAATAACTATGTTTCTGCCTACCACGAGATATATCATTTAAAGGTAAATGGGGGCTTGATTGCTTTAGGACTTGCAGGTAAAAGTAAATTCACAATTTGCTTGCTAAATCAGTACAAATATAATATCTTTCCCGTCTTGAAATATGGGAAGCCATTTTTTAAAAATGGCTGCCTAAATGTTCTTGCAGTGTTGTAGCCATGTCGGTCACAGGACAAAGAGAAAAGGGGGTGAGGTAATATTTTATTGGACCAACCTCTGTTGGTGAGTGAGAGATACAGAGCTCTTCCTCAGGTTCCTCTGTATAGTGTAAAAGCTTGTCTCTCTCTCCAGCGGAAATTGGTCCAGTCAAAGATATTACAATGGAACTTCCATGGTAATCATCCTTCCTAAGAGCTTTATTCTGAACTTCCTTTTGGATTTGAGTGAGCTCAGTACTTCTGAAGGAGGTGCTGAGCTCCTAACAGGATTGGGCCCAGATTTTACCACACACTATACATTTTTATTGTGCCTAGCCTTACTCTGCAATCAAAAGGATAATACTGGAAATAAAGTCAAAAGCACAAAGTTCCACACATGCACCACCCCAGTTTCTTTCAACTTGTATCTGTTGGCATGTATACAAGCATGATTGTCTTGATTACAAACTGGCTATCTGAGACTCCTTACAGCATTCTAATAGTGTAAAAGGTTTCTAAAGTGAGTATGAGTATAACTTGTGTCCACTTTAAGGCTCCTTTACACTGCCAGAGTGATATAAAGACACCTTAGTGCTTCAGTGTTGACCATTGCAGTCATAAGATGAAGAGAAGGATTAATGATAAACAGAGTACCCTGAATTTCATTCCTTACAAACATTTAAAAATATACTATTAAACCTTGATCTATGTGTTTTATTTCTTAGGGTTTAAATAATCTGGTCATGCTGGACATGTATGGAAATCTAATTGTGTGGAAACAAGATAACTACCGACTGTCTGTAATATTCCATCTTCCATCTCTCAAAGCTTTAGATGGCATTGCAGTAGTAAGTTATACTAGATATCATATGATTATGGTAACTTGTTAAAACCAGCTTTTTTATGCATCAAGAGGGCATGGGCATCCTGATAATTTCTGATCCTTGTTAAAGCAATCGTTTTAGTGCCTAATACTACAGGCCCAGGGCTAATGTGATGGTTGTGGAGACTTTTTTTAGTTTTAAGTCCTGACTTTTCAGGCACTTATTTTTTAAAATTACTTTTGGGGTTGAAAATGTTCATGCCTGCCGTATTATTATAGTGCTAGCTCTGCTTTAATATAACAGAATTCATTTTAAGTGTCATTCTACAGGAGCCAGCAGACATTGAGAGTGCTAAAGATTTATTTGGCGGCAGACTTACCTGTGATATGATTGCAGAAAGACTAGGACATTCAGACTTCACTAAAATGGAAGAATTAAATTGGACAACCTCTACGATCAGGTGCAATTATTTTTGAATGTGCATGCATATGTTACAAATGGAATTTAATATCATAGCTAGAAAAATATAATTAAACCCAGTACCTATGCTTTCTTAATTCTGTTAATTCATATGTCTCTCTGTTTATGGACATCTAACATAGTGAATGCCAGTGAAAATGAGGTGGTAGCAGAAGCTAAACAAGTTAAAAATTACTTACACAAGTTAGATGTCTTCAAATTACCAGTGCCTGATGAAATATTCCTAAAACATTCAAGGAGCTGACTGAGGAGATAGCTGAGCCATTAGCAATTATCTTTGGAAGGTCATGGAAATTGAAAGATATTCCAGAGACTTGGAAAAGAACAAATATAGTGCCCATCAATACAAAGGGAAATAAGGACAATCCAGGGAATTACCGACCAGTCAACTAAACTTCAGTACTCAGAAAGATAATGTAGCAAATAATTAAGGAATTATAACTTCAGTACTCGGAAAGATAATGTAGCAAATAATTAAGGAATTAATTTGCAAACACCTAGAAGATAATGTGGTACGTAACAGCATAGATTTATCAAGGACAAATTGTGCACTCCCTTTGACAGAGTAACAATCCTTGTAGATAAGGGGAAGTGGTAGATTTGGTATATCTTGACATTAGTAAGGCTTTGGATACTGTTTCATGTGACCTTCTAATATACAAAGTAGGGAAATACAACATAGATGGAGTTACTATAAAGTGGGTGCATAACTCATTGGACAACCATTCACTGAGAGTTCATAGTCAAGCTGAAAGGGCACGTAAAGAGGAATCCTACAGGGATCAGTTCTGTTAAATATATCCATCAGTAATTTAGATAATTGCATAGAGAGCACACTTACAAAGTTTGCGAATGATGCCAAGGTGGGAAGGATTGCAAGTGCTTACAGGAATAGGATTCAAATTCAAAATGATCTGGGAAAACTGAAAAAATGGTCTGGAGTAAACAGGATGAAAATCAAGAACAAATGCAGTGTTCTTTTATAAGTGAAGTAATCAGTTGCATACATACAAAATGAGAAATTACTGCCTAGCAAAGAGTACTGTGGAAAGGAAACTGGGGGGTCAGAATTGCTCCTTTAGCACTGTTTAGCATGTTGATCATTTAGTGGTACCAATGGTTGTTTAGCGTTTCCTGCTTCTGATGTGTTAAAAAATTGCTATTACTTTTGAGCCTTTGGCTAGGTGTTACTTCAAAAGCCTTTGTTGACCGCCACAGTTAACTTCATCCCACGAGGCATAATGGGGTGGTTGACAAAGGCTTTTGATGTCGACCGCCAAGCATCCAGACTACCGCACTGAGCCAACAAACAGCTGATCAGCACAGCACGGCAGCCATTTTTATGTAAATGAAGCGGTGATTATTTAAATCGTCACTTCATTTTGCTATGTCTACAAAGCTCATCTACATGGATCCGTCGACGGAGTCATGTAGAGTAGACATACCCTGTGATTCTGACTCATATTTTCTTCTCCTGTTGCTCCAGGGTGAAAGGAGCTGGAGGGTTGGTAGAAAAACACTTTTCCCTTCTGTAGCTGCTCAGATCAATAAGCCAGCACATGGGAGAGGACACAGAGATAAGGATCCACCCATTCCTTCCCCCTGTGGCCTAGATCTACAAAGGAATATAGATGTAGAGTATTTCAATGACATTTCCACTCCTTGAAAATCACTGGACACCACAAACCCTGGCTAAGGCACCTAAATTTTCTATACAATGCATGGTGAAAGATAGGTAGTACATCTAAGCAGAGAGCTGTGTATGCTAGCCAATATCAGAGGATGAGAAGGGAGGTGTGTTCCAGAGTGAGGAGCCTAAGTCTTGATTAGAAGGACGTGTTTATCTCCACTTGTGATCCACAGTCAGAAACCTAGAGTCAATTATTCTTACCAGAACAGTAGCCACACATGTGTAACTCCACACAAAAATGTCAAGAGGCAGGGAAGTCCTCTGTTGCAAACTTTAGTCTACTGTTTAGGGAACTTACCCAGGATGTGGAAGATACTGGTTCTGTTCCTTTCTGTGTGCTATAAAGATGGGATTTAAACAGGGGTTTTTCTGTCAAGTGAGTGACTGGACTAAAAGAGTCACTCTCATTCTCTAGCCCAATGCATAGATCAATTTTCAAAAAATAATAGTGCTTCTATCAGACTGATCATGTGGAAGAGACTAAAGACTTCTGTCTACAAAAGAAAATCATCAAGAGCACAGAAGTTCCAGCTTCCGCATGCTGCCTTACTAAATGTATCTCAAGCCAATGCTTTGGAGACTAATTCTAGAACTGAAGGAAGTTTATGCTTTATACATATTTAATCTTGCCCTCTTGTCTGAGCCTGGCAACAAGGGTACCAACTAATGCTAATGTTGATCTTTTTTAGATACAGACACCTGTCCACTAAGAAATGGCCTGACCGTAAGCTCATTTCACATTGGTCCCCAAACAGCTACCAGATGGTAATGAGTTGGTCACTACTGACCTGGAAGTAACCTTGAAAACAGAGTATTCCCATAAAAAGCAATATTACTTAGTCAATGTCTGTGTTCTCTTTGCTACTATTGATGGCATTCGTGTTTAAATAATAGGAAACTCTCTCACTAGCTAACTTTTCTTGCAGTCAGTTCATAATTGTGTTTTTATGCCAAAACTGGGCTTGCAAAATGTGTTGTATAACACACACAATTTTAACTACTGAAACGCGTTGCCTATTATTTTAATATTGTTATAATACAGCTGTCGGTTTTGCAATGTTTACAAAAACTTTACACCTGATAAGGTAAGGTTACTCACGTGCATCATAAAAGTTTTCTGTCTGAGTAATCCCACAGGATTCCATTGAATGACTCACACTCATCTTAATATGTTATACTGCTACCCATTACCCTAGTGCAGTGTTTCTCAAAGTGGTTGGGGTAGGTTCAGAAACTAAAATATAAAAAGAGCAAGTTAAAAATTACTTACACAAGTTAGATGTCTTCAAATTACCAGTGCCTGATGAAATATTCCTAAAACATTCAAGGAGCTGACTGAGGAGATAGCTGAGCCATTAGCAATTATCTTTGGAAGGTCATGGAAATTGAAAGATATTCCAGAGACTTGGAAAAGAACAAATATAGTGCCCATCAATACAAAGGGAAATAAGGACAATCCAGGGAATTACCGACCAGTCAACTAAACTTCAGTACTCAGAAAGATAATGTAGCAAATAATTAAGGAATTAATTTGCAAACACCTAGAAGATAATGGTGGTACGTAACAGTATAATTTATCAAGGACAAATTGTGCACTCCCTTTGACAGAGTAACAATCCTTGTAGATAAGGGGAAGTGGTAGATTTGGTATATCTTGACATTAGTAAGGCTTTGGATACTGTTTCATGTGACCTTCTAATATACAAAGTAGGGAAATACAACATAGATGGAGTTACTATAAAGTGGGTGCATAACTCATTGGACAACCATTCACTGAGAGTTCATAGTCAAGCTGAAAGGGCACGTAAAGAGGAATCCTACAGGGATCAGCTCTGTTAAATATATCCATCAGTAATTTAGATAATTGCATAGAGAGCACACTTACAAAGTTTGCGAATGATGCCAAGGTGGGAAGGATTGCAAGTGCTTACAGGAATAGGATTTAAATTCAAAATGATCTGGGAAAACTGAAAAAATGGTCTGGAGTAAACAGGATGAAAATCAAGAACAAATGCAGTGTTCTTTTATAAGTGAAGTAATCAGTTGCATACATACAAAATGAGAAATTACTGCCTAGCAAAGAGTACTGTGGAAAGGAAACTGGGGGGTCAGAATGGATCACAAGCAAAATATGAGTCAACATTGGAACCATTTTGAAAAAGAAGCAAACATCATTCTGGAGTATACTAGCAGGAGTGTTGCAAGCAAGACAGAAGTAGTAATTCTTCCTCTCTATTCTGCACTAATAAGGCCTCAACTGAAGTATTGTGTCCAGTTCTGGGCACCATGTTTCAATAAAGGTATGGTCAAATTGAAGAAAGTCCAGAGAAGAGCAACAAAAATTAGGTCTAGAAAAGATGACTTTTAAGCACTGGAATAAATTGCTTAGGGAGTTTGTGGAGTCTCCATCATTGAACATTTTTAAGAGCAAGTTGGGCAAACACCTGTCAGGGATGGGCAAATTTTTTGTCTGGACGGCCACATTGAGGTTCAGAAATGTTATGGAGGACTGAGCAGGGAAGTCTAGGACAGGCTATGCCTCTCCAAACAGCCAGGTATGGCCTGGCCCTAGTCCCCTATATAACTCCTCTCTCCCTGGTCCCTAACTGCCCCCTGGACCAATTGCAATATATCTTTTTAGAGATGGGGCAACCACATCTGCATGGTGTATTCAGCAATATGCTGTTTCCTTTCTTATTCCCTATTCCTTTTTTAATGATTCCCAACATTGTGTTTGCTTTTTTGACTGCCTCTGCACAGCTCTGTATTACTCTCTGAGAAAACAGCGCAATGTATTTATTGTAAAGTTTTATCAGGATGCTCCTGTAAAAAGATGATGTTACATTTCTCACCAGAAATCTAACACCAACAGTCCTGCTCAGGAAGTGTGTGTCACATAATACCTTTTTCTGTATTTTCTTTTATCCGATTCAGAACAGTGGATCTTGTACCAGCAGACCAGTTTAGAAACATTTGTAATGTGAATTTACAGAACAACAATCTCACCTCTTTCAGTGGCTTAATCTTCCTGCCTAATGTTAAAGTGAGTTAATTACTCATTCTGTGCTTTTCTTTCCTGTTTTTATAGTGACAATAATTATAATCTTCTTTCTTTTTAAATAAAGGTCTACATTTCTTTACTCTTGCCTCAGAGATGTCTTTTATAATAGAGCAAGAAGGAATCTTTGTTACATTTATTGTATACTAATTTATTAAATATAGCTTTCTACAGTTATTTCAGGCACCAGTGTTAATCCAGTACAAATGAGTCAGAAAAAAACAAAACCACTTATTTAAACATGTGTTGAAATAAATGTATCACTAGCCTATTCATTGCATCAAGAATTTTTGAAGCACTGAATACCAGTGATTCGGCAACCAATCTGTTAATTAGCTTGTTATCTGAATTTGAAAGACCAGAAATACGTTATAAATGACACCTTTGCTGCTATATTAGCAGAGCAGTGTTCTGTTCATTTCATGTGACTTCAGTGGTGGAAGTACCTTAAAATTTCTTACAGGCCCTGTCCTGTTGCAACCTGGGTCCCTGCCAGTTCTTTTCCCTGCTGGCTTTTGCTGCAGCTCAGCCAGATCTTGCCAGAACTATGTACCTGGGCGCACCCACTTACTTTCACCTCTGTGTGGCTTGCTTTATGCAGATATTGTGTCTGAACTACAATCACATTGAGTCAATACTACCCAGACAAAAGCCTCAAAATCATTTAACAAACAGGCAGCAGCTGTACCAGAAAGTGATCTCTAGTGGCTATGGACAGCAAGGACCTTCAAAAGGAAGCAGGTATTGTCAAATTGTAAAATGAACTTTTGTAAATCCTTTATTCCTTTGCTGAAAAGGACAGTCCTTGGAGACTGAGGAGCCTGGGATGCGCTCTGCTCCCTACCTAACTTGAGCTGTCTTCTGGCAAGGAAGCCCAGTGACCTTTTGCCACCCACTTGAGCACCTCTGACATGATTGGGAGCATTCAGCACATCTCTCTCTTAGGCTCTTTGGATCACTTCTACCATCCTCAGTTATTAGGATGGGAAGAGGATTGGCAGCATAAGGTTGCCCCTTCTCTTCCCACGCTCTTTAGAAGGGAAAAGTGTGCTACTCCCAGTCTTTAGCAGCAGTGGCTACTGCATCAGAAGCCAGTGACCCTTATAACTCTATGGTTCAGAGACACTCTAAAGTGCACCGACTCATATTGGCAAACTGAAGCCCCATAAAGTTGAGTGAAGATCACACTGAATCTCTGGAAGAGCCAGGAATAGAAAACAAGTGTTCCTTGCTCTAACCATCAGATACACTGTCTCTCCACAGCTTCTCAATACATGATAGTCAAACTAATTCTCTCAATCTTCTCTCCTCCTATTCTCCTTGTACAGCATTGCATAACGGGACAGATATTTATGGGGCTTTTTTGCTTTCCTCTCAAGCATTTGATACTGATCACAGGCAAGTTCGTACTCCATGGTCATTGATTTGATTTGATATGGCATGTTTATAGGTCTCTTATCAGGCCTATCATGGACATTATTTACTTGAAATCTTTAAAGGCTTTATAAGCTCCTGCTATAATATTGAATCATTGCAATCTTGATACTTAGGTAATATTACATCTCCTGAGCCTGAACTGTAAAGACTCAGCTACTGTCCTTTTAGACAAGCAATTATTCTGATAGTTCTTATAACCCCTTCTTAGAACCAGTGAGCGCCATACCCTACCAATTGTAGTGCTTTTGCATATTCATTCAAATTTCCTTCCTAATACAGTAAAACTCCAATAGTCCGGCATCCAATAGTCCAGCACTCCTGACAGTCCAGCATCAAAATGGCAAGAGCCTAGTGAGTGAGCTTCGGCAAAAAATGAGTCACAAGGTAACAGCAGCAGCAGCTGAACTGAGCAAAAAGGGTAAAAAAGGCTTTAAAAAAACTAAAACATTACAGTATACTGTATACAGTATGTACAATAAAAAGGGCTAGGGACACTTTATATACAGTATATAATGTATACAGTATATATATAACCATCTTATAGTTCGGCATATCTGATAATCTGGCACCACCTAGGTCCCATAGGTTCCGGATTATCGGAAGTCTAATGTATTTTGTCTAATCAGAGAAGTCTTATTTGCCAATAATCCTTTCTCCTATCCCAACTCCTAAAAGAGCTGTTTTTCTCATCCCTTGCAACAGAAATCCATTCCTTTTTTTTTGTACCAACACATTAGATCAGTTTATGTCCTGAAGAACTTTTTCAAATCAGCTTTCAGTTTGCATTTCTCACTTTTGCATTCTAACAGGCCTGAAACTTCAAGAACATGTCAGGTTTCATTCAGTCAGATCTTTACAACTATGAGAGTGTCCATAGCCTATTTCAGTCCAATCCCATCAGACAAGACTTGCCAAACTGCTACCCAGAGTTCCCTCCATATTATTAGTGACAAAGCATCACAGAAAAAAGTGAGATTTGGGAGTGTATATGTGTATTTCTCAAATGAGTGTCCAGCTCCTCCCACCTACATTTTTTGTGTTCATTTGGCAACTCTGTGTTTATTTCTTGTCCCAAACTCTCTTCCTTCTCTAGGGGATAGGATAAATTTGAGGAAAAATAAGATTTAGTTGGGAATAGGAAGCTTCTGTAGAAAATGCATGCATTTGTTGTTAATTTGCTGGGGGAGAGGGGGAAGGCACTGGCTGAAACAAAGCATATAGCAATTCTTCAAAAAGGGTCATATTTTTGGAGTTTATTGTACTCTATTCTACATGCATCCACATCATGTATTATTTGAAAGCATATTTTATGAACACTAGGATCAGGTATGATTTGGAGCTGTCAAATGATGCAGTAAGCCTGTAGACAAGGTGAAACAATACCCAAAATGAGGGAAAGTGTGTATCTTTGCACAAATCTAAAAACACTGCAGTCTGCCTATGACTGCAGGGTTTATTAAGTAAATATTAGCACCTTAATGTTGTGTTTTATTGATCAAAGCTGCCAAATGACAATGTACTATAAGATTTGTATTGATTTTACAAGGGTATCTATTTATTTTAAGAAATGATTAAACTGTTTAGTATGCTGCAAAAATGGCAAATGTCAGCAATTTGCAGTATACAAACATTGTTTTCACAATGCATATTCTTAATTATAAAAGTATCTCGCAAGTATTTACAAGAGCTTTCTATATTTTCAGTTGAAATGTACTGAAAGTTGTGTACCAGTAGCAGTCGATTACTGATCACAGTTTGTACTGCCTTGTGGATACCTTATAAATGTGCCTTTATGTGGGTTTTAGTTTTTAACTACTATGTATACAATATATACAATACAGGTTGGACCTCCCTGATCTGGCATCCTCAGGATCTGACTAGTCCGGAACGAGGAATTTTGCCAGACCAGAGATGGTCATTCTGGCCCCCGTGCTGCCATCCTCTGGGCCTTCCCTTGCTGAGCTACCCTCACAATCAGCAATCCCGCTGCTGGCCCCAGTCACTGGACTCTTCTGCCAGCTTTGTCTGGGCCACTAGCCACCAGATTGGCTCCACTCCCAATCCCCCAGCAGGGAACCAGGCCGTTAGTCCCCCGGCCACGGGATCAGGTCCATTCCCAGCCCTCCGGCCAGGCTCCAGCTCCAGGCCGTTGGCTCCCCAGCTACTGGACCAGCTCCTCTCTGGACCCCTGGCCACCTCCAGCTGCTCTGCTGCCAGCCTCCCAGCCATCCCTGCTCCCGGCCAGGAGCTCTCTAATTATTTTGCCCAGGATCAATATCAGGTTCATAGGCCTATACTTATCCAGATCATCTCATTTATCCTTTTTTAAATATTGGCACAACATTTGTTCTTCTTCCAGTAGTGTCCCCATGGGTGCTCACCTGTGGGTGAAGGGTCGCCCTGAGCCTCAGATCGGGGCTTTGTATAGCAGTTTCCCCTGTTGAGCCACGCATGCCCAGGAGGCATCTCGAGCCCTTCCCACCTCCTGAGGAGCGCGGCTCAACCCCCTCCCTTTCAGTTCCTCTTTAACCGCCCTCGTCAGCGGACGGAGCAAACAGGAGCTCCCTGTCAGACTCTCTGACTACTCTCCTCTACCCAGTTTAGACATAGTTCTTTTTCCCTGTTATTCCAAGTTAGCTTTCCTTGTTTCTTTAAAAAAAAAAAAAATTAGTAACAAGAAGAATACACTTAGCTAAATCCCCCCTCAGGGGGACTTGAACCTGCTTCAAACCGGGACTCTGAGGTACCGGTGTTCTCACAGGTGTTAAACACAGGAGAGAAAGAAAAGAGTTTAAAACAAAAACAAAAAAACCCAACACACAGAGACAGACGACAACAACAACAGCCAAATAAATACATAGAACAAGCTCAAAGAGGAGAGAACCGACCATGTCCGGCTCCTCGGGCTTTAAAAAATGCGACCAATGCTGGGATCCTATGCCGGCTTCAGATGGGCATTCAAAGTGCATTCGCTGTTTGGGGGAACCCACAGCTGCACTCATTGCAACTCACTCACGGCGAGAGCCAGGAAAGACCGAGAGCTCCGCCTGAGAATGATTTTGTTTGAGAAAGCCTTACAGCCCGCCGCGGAACAGGCGGGAACGCAACAAGAGCCTCCCCCACTCTCCAGGAGCGAGCCGAGGGGTAGACCCTCACCATCCCGCTCCTTACCAGCCTCCTCCTCTCCAAAACATGGAGGAGAGGCACACCAGACCGGGAGGACGCCCGCCACAAAGGCGTCGGGGCGATCCTCCCACTCCGCACCGGCATCGGGGCACGCCACTGCTGAGCGGCCCCGGGAGCGTTCAAAACAGCCGGCACGGCAAGAAAAGCCGGCGCCGAAGCAAACCGCGGTGCCGCTTCAAACAGCGGCACCGCTTTCAACTGCACAGCCTTCCGCTCCAAGCAGCTGGCATGGCAAGAAAAGCCGGTGCCGAAGCAAACTGCGGTGCCGCTTCAAACCGCGGCACCGCTTCCAGCCCCGACGCTGCTTCAAGCTTCGGCGGCGCCAAAAGCTGCAGCACAGCTTAAAGGTGCAGTGCCGATTAAAGCCACGGCACCACAGCAGAGCGAAGTACAGCCTGCTAAGTGCCCGGCACCAGCTCCAGCTAAGCAGCATGATGCTGCACTGGCGCTGCCAGCACACCCAGACAAGCAGCCAGATGAGACTGCTAGGGATCAGCCTCACCAGGAAACTGACTCACACAGCAGCCTTTACTATCAGTGCCTGCCTTCCACATCTTACTCACCTGGGAGGTCCCCATCAAGGCTATCCCCTCCCAGGTCTACGTCACTCTTATCTGGCCAAGACGCTCCTCCTTATCCTGCCAAGACGCTCCTCTTCCTGAGGATG